TACAAAAATTAGCTGGGCATGGTGGCTTGTGCCTGTAATCCCAGCTACTTGGGAGGCTGAGGTAGGAGAATTGCTTGAACCGGGACCCGGGAAGCAGAGGTTGCAGTGAGCCAAGATTGTGTCACTGCACTCCAGCCTGGGCTACAGAGCAAGACTCCATCTCAAAAAAAAAAAAAAAAAAAAAAAAAAAAAGAACTGCCAATAGGGAGAAACCCCATCTCTAGTAAAAATACAAAATTAGTCAGGTGAGGTCGCACAAAAACAAACAAACAAACAAAAACTGCCTGAGACTGGATAATTTGTAAAGGAAAGAGGCTTCATTGATTCACAGTTCTGCATGGCTGGGGAGGCCTCAAGAAACTTACAGTCATGGTGGGAGGCGAAGGGGAAACAAGGCACCTTCTTTACAGGGTGGCAGGAAGACGTGCCAAGCGAAGGCAGGAGGAGCCTCTCATAAAACCATCATATCCCGTGAGAACTCACTCACTAGCACGAGAACAGCATGGGGGAAGCCGTCCCCATGATTCAATTACCTCCACATGGTCTCCACCTAGACACGCATGAATTATGGGGATGCAATTCAAGATGAGATTTGGGTAGGGACACAAAGCCTAACCACATCACCCTGTTTCACAGAGCTCAGGTTTTCCTGGGCTTTCTTCCTGGGCTGTGGCACCTTCACCTTATACCTGCTCATAGGTGAAGTGTTGCCAGGACCTGATGTTGGTGTAGATGGAAGAAGCTAGCGTTTGGAGGGCTGGAGAACCTTGGACTGAAGTCCTTATGTCCCCCAACGCCCCCTAAGCCCCCAGTCCTGGTGATAAAGGCCACCTCTGGAGCCCCCACCCAAGCAGAGATGCCACTGAATTCATTAATCAGATGAGGATGTGGGTATGTCTGCAACTCTGCAAACCTTTCAGAATTGTGATTCTCTGCTGTTTACCTGTCCTTAGCATATGTTCTAAACTGGGGCCCAGGATTCTGAGCTTCTGCCCACCCCTTCCTCCCTCAGGACCTGGAGCTCGAGCCCCCACTTCCTTCCTCCTTAAGCCCCAGGAGTTCTAACTCCCAAGTCCCCTCCTTTAGCAGAGACCCTAGACTTGGGGCCTTCCCCTTCCAGAATGGAGGACTGCAGAACCCACAGGAAAGTATGACACATCCCCAACTGTCCCCTCTGGCCACATCTCCCCACCCACTTAACGCAAACCCTCGCCTGGCTGGCTTCCTCCCACCTCAGGGCCCCCAAGCCTCTCTCTATCTCTCACCTCTTCCTGGAAGCCCCCACTTGGTGTTGAGGGCTCCACGGGTGTGAGCCATAGAACCTGTGACAGAGGCAAGTTCTAAACCACCACCCAAACCACTGACAATCTGACACCCTCCGTGTCCTCCCCCACCACACATGAAGGAGGGAACCGGACCCCAGGGAGGGGAGGGAGGACGTTGCCTGTGCAATCCAGGAAGGGAGGGTATGTGAAAAGTCAGCTACCGGGAACTGTGTGAAACCAAACCAGCCTTATTTGACAAAGCACAGGACCCCTCGCTGCCCCAAGACTACTTCCTGGTCTCTCTTTCTTGAGCTCAGAGGACCCAGGAGTCCAGGTGCACAGCCTCCTCCTCTCTGAGATTCAAGAGTCTGATCAGCAGCCTCTTCCTCCGCCAGGACCCAGAAGCCCCAAGCTTACCCTCATGGAGCCCTTCCGGTCCCTGTCCCTGCTTACAGGCTCCCTGGGCCTGATTTTCTGCCTGATTGCTTTGAGCACCGATTTCTGGTTTGTGGCTGAGGGTCCCACCTTCTCAGCTCACTCGGGCCTCTGGCCAAATGGGCATGGGAACCCCGTAGCAGGTAAGGGGAGTGGGTGTCCTGGGGTGGGCGAGGGTTGCCAGAGGAGATGGATGCTCAGTGGTCTCCCCCGATCAGGTTACATCCACGTGACGCAGAGCTTCAGCATCCTGGCTGCCCTGTGGGCCCTGGTGTCCGTGAGCTTCCTGGTCCTGTCCTGCATCCCCTCATTGTCTGCTCCAGGCCGAGGCCCCCTTATCTCAACCATCACAGCCTTTGCTGCAAGTAAGGACTCTGAAGTGCAATGGGGCATCGGGAGCCAGTGAATTCCTGCCAAGGGACTGAGCCATCTTTCTTGTCCTTGTCTCCAGCCCTCTCTATGGTAGTGGCCATGGCGGTGTATACCAGTGAGCGGTGGAATCAACCTCAAGACCCCCAGATCCAGACCTTCTTCTCCTGGTCCTTCTACCTGGGCTGGGTCTCAACTATCTTCTTGCTCTGCACAGGTGACTATCCTGCTCACTGCCCTGGGGAGCTTGGGAGGGCCCAGCTGGGGGCGCTGAGGATGGAGGGCAGGGGGCAAGTGCTTAAATGCTTTCTGACCACCCAGGTTCTCTGAGTCTAAGTGCTCACTGTGGTGGCCCCAGGCCCGGCTATGAAACCTTGTGAGTGGAAGGCAAGAACGGCAAGCTGAGTTTTGAGCGCTGTATTCCAAAGGCCTCATCTGGAGCCTCGGGAAAGTCTGGCCCCACATCTGTCCCGCCCTTCCCCAGCCACTCCTGTTTTTTCATTCATTCAACAAAATTTGGCTGGACTCTGGTTATTCTGAGATTAATTCTGCCAAGATGTAAGCCAACCATCTGCCAGCTCCATGGTGGGTGAGGCCAGGCACCCAGGGAAGGTGAGGGCCCACCAGGCTGACCACCTGCAGGGCGCTCCTGCCCAGGAAGAGAGCCAGCCTGTGTCTGTCTCTCCCCCTCTCCAGTGCTTTTCTTTCTCCTGGTGTCTTTCTCCCTTTAGCCGGCTCTCTTTCCTTCTCTATCCCTCTCTGATTTTGTCCCACTTGCCAGAACTCGGTCCTCTTTGCACATTTCCCCATGTTGGGGACACTGGCACATGCCAGACCCAGATGCTGCCCACCACGGGCTCAGTCTGTGAGGCAGTGGGGAGGAGGCACTTACAGACCAGAAGCAGCTAATACTGGCCAGACAGCAGGCCCAGTGCAGGCAGGACGCTGGAACAAGACTGACCATATTGTGGAGGGATGGAGATGACTTTTCCGGAGAGAGAATGTTTAGGAGCTTCTTAAGGGCCAGAAAAAGGAAATATCCAGGAAGAGGGACCCAAAGATGGATGCACAGAAAGGTCAAGAATCTTGTGGGGATAAAGAATGATAATTTATGGTCAGGATATTGAATGTAGGGGACAGGGGATGGAAAAGGAAGAGGGAGAGGCAGCTGGGGGCTCCGGCCTCTAATGTCACACTGGACTGTCTCCCGAGTGTGATGGGGAGTTTGGAGAAAACTGGGCATGAGTTTTCTCCCAGTGTCAGCTCTGGGTGCCAGAAAGACTCCCCTGTAGACCTGGAGGGGAGGCCAGAAGGTCAGGGAGGAACATGGCAATGTAGTAGGTGAGACAGGACAAGGCCTGACCTGGGACCAGGAAAGGAGGGAATGAGCCAGACAGATTCAAGGGCAGGAGGAGCAGGACTTGAGGACCCAAGGCTTTTCAGGGTGAGAAGCGAGAAGAGGGCAAGGACAGTGCTCAAGTGTCGGGATCGATGAACTGGATGGGACGGCAGGGCCATCCCTCTTATGGTGGAAGACACTGCGCTCAGTTGGGATATGGTTAACTGTTAAGGCCCTGAGGGGCAGCCAGGAGCAGAACTTGAGTCTGGGGCTCACGGGAGATACCTTGGGTTGGAGATGGAGTTTGGGAGGCTGTGAGAGCTTTAAGCAGCACTGAAGCTTTGGCAGTGAGGAGGCTTTCCTGGCAAGGGAGTGCAGGGTGCAGCTTCAAGGGATACCCAGATTTACAAGTGAAGGGGCAGAGGAACAGAAGTCTGCACTAAGACAGCTGGGGCCTGGAGAGCTTCTGGGATGCCTGGAATGTCAAGGAAAGAGACTTTTGTTTTTTCTTTTGTTTTTGTTGGAGTGCAATGGTGTGACTTCAGCTCACTGCAACCTCCACCTCCTGGGTTCAAGTGATTCTCCTGCCTCAGCTTCCCAAATAGCTGGGATTACAGGCACCCGCCATCATGCCTGGCTAACCTAATTTTTGTATTTTTTTTCTTTTTTGAGACGGAGTTTCGCTCTTGTTACCCAGGCTGGAGTGCAATGGCGCGATCTCGGCTCACCGCAACCTCCACCTCCTGGGTTCAGGCAATTCTCCTGCCTCAGCCACCCGAGTAGCTGGGACTACAGGCACGCGCCACCACGCCCAGCTAATTTTTGTATTTTTAGTAGAGACGGAGTTTCACTATGTTGACCAGGATGGTCTCGATCTCTTGACCTCGTGATCCACCCACCTCGGACTCCCAAAGTGCTGGGATTACAGGCTTGAGCCACCGCACCCGGCCTTTTTCTTTTTTTTTGAGACAGAGTTTCACTCTTGTTGTCCAGGCTGGAGTGCAATGGCATGATCTTGGCTCGTTGCAACCTCTGCTTCCTGGGTTCAAGCGATTCTCCTGCCTCAGCCTCCCAAGTAGCTGGGATTGTAGGCATATACCACCACGCCTGGCTAGTTTTGTAATTTTAGTAGAGACAGGGTTTCACCATGTTGGTGAACTCCCGACCTCAGGTGATCCATCCACCTTGTCCTCCCAAAGTGCTGGGATTACAGGCGTGAGCCACCGTGCCTGGCTAATTTTTGTATTTTTAGGAGAGATGGGATTTTGCCATGTTGGTGAGGCTTGTCTGAAACTCCTGACCTCAGGTGATTCGCCCGCCTCAGCCTCCCAAAGTGCTAGGATTACAGGCGTGAGCCACAGTGTGCCTGACCAAGGGAAGAGAAGTTTCTAAGAAAGGGCTAGGAGTGGTGGCTTAAACCCATAATGTCAGCATTTGGGGAGGCTGAGGTAGGAGGATTGCTTGAGCCCAGGAGTTTGAGACCAGCAACATAGCAAGTTTGGGCAACATAGCAAGACCCCATCTCAACAAAAAATCTTAAGAAAATTAGCCAGGCATGATGGCACATGCCTGTAGTCCCAGCTACTCATGAGGCTGAGGCAGGAGGATTCCTGGAACCCAGGAGTTCAAAGCTGCAGTGAGCTGTAATGGTGCCACTGCACTCCAGGCTGGGAGAGAGAGACACCCTCTCTAAAAAAAAACAATAAAAGAAAGACTTGGCCTACCATGTAATGGCCCTCAAGCTGCCCCCAGAGCTGCTGTCTGATTCTGAGCTGTCACTCAGTTGAGAGTTACTGGGGTGTATGTGTACTGATGGTGGGGGGAGTGATTATCCCTTTAAACAATCACTAGGGGAGGGGGTTCTGGAACCCCCTGCCTCACAGAGACCCAGCCTCCCTCCCCCCATCTCTCTGGGCTCTGTTTGTCTAAGGAGACCTGGGGCCCTGGGTGTGAGTCACTTAGGTGGGTGTATGTGGAGGGGTGTCTGGGGAGGGTACTGAACAGGCTGAAGGGGCATTCTGCTGTGTGGGAGGTCTCTGGGAAGACAGGTTGCTCACGGCAAAGCCTGTGGTGAAGGTCTCAGAGGCCTCTCAGGGGAAGTCTCAGGGTCCCCAGTAAGGAGAACAAGGGAGGAGATTGTGGGTCCCCAGAAAGGGTTGTTGAGGGAGGGGCCTGGGGCACCCGTGGAACTGAAGGAGGGGGTCTTCAGGTCCCCAGAAGCAGGGGCCTCAGGCAGGAGTGCTAGGGGAGAAGTGTGGAGAAGGCGGGCTCCTAAGCTGGGGGCCTGGGGTGGGAAGGGCCTCGGCCCATCCTGCCCTTGTGGCCCCCGGCTGCAGCCTCAGTGGCATGGGGGTGAAGCGGAGCCTCCAGAGCGGGGGCATTCTGCTCAGCCTCTTGGCCAACGTCCTCATGGTGCTCTCCACGGCCACCAACTACTGGACTCGCCAACACGAGGGCCACAGTGGCCTGTGGCAGGAATGCAACCACCGCGTTTGCTCCAACATCCCCTGCCAGAGTGAGGAGGCTCGGCCCGCCCTGATGTCAGACGGCACTTCAGACCCCCAGGGCTCGGGACACAGGGCTGGGCCCACCGCAAGGCACCCGCCACTTCCATCCCGTGCTCAGATGCAGCTGTCCCTCCTCGACCGAGGCAGCCACGAACCCCTCCCTCAGGCTTGTGGGCTTATCCCCGAACCCCTTCCCATCCCGGTAGCGGCAGTAACCGCAGGTCCTGATGTGACCTCCAAGGCCCGGTCCAAACGCCTGACTCCAGGTCGGGGAAGCCGGACTCCAGGCCAAGTACCGGGTGGGGGGAGGAGCCAGGAGAGCTTCCGGTTGCGGCCGAAGCCGTCGCGGCTGGGGGCGGTCCCCGCGGGGGCTGAGGCGCCCACTCTCCTCAGCCACGCTGGCCGTGACAGCGGCGTGCATGGTGCTGGCGGCGGGCTTCGGCGTGGTGGGCATGGTGTTGGGACTGTGGATTCGGTGGCACGAGGGCGAGTCGCGGCGGGGCCAGACCACAAGCGCCTTCCTCTTCCTCGGCGGTGAGACGGAGGCGGGGGTGGGCCGGGGGTGATGGAGGGGCCTGGGTACCAGGGGCGGGGCTTGAGGAATGCCGCCGGGACTCAAGGGGCGGGGCTGGAAGAAGCCGCGAAATGGGGGCGGGGCTCGAGATGGAGTTCAGAAGCCGGAGGCGCCAGGGCCAGAGGCGGGGCTGAGAGGGAATAGGCGTGGCCTGACAGAAGGGGGCGGGTCTGAATGGGCGTGGCTTGGGTGCAGGCCCACTTGGCCCAGCTCACACGGCGGCTGGGCGGGGCCCAGGACTGCTGCTGCTGACAGCCTTGATAGGCTACACGGTGAAGAACACGTGGAAGAACAACGTCTTCTTCTCCTGGTCCTATTTTTCTGGGTGGCTGGCCTTACCCTTCTCAATTCTCGCGGGTAACGTGGACAGCGGGAAGAGGGTGGAGGAGGCTACCCAGAAGGCTCCCCAGCTGCCCTTCCAGGAAACCCCGGGGACCTCTCAGGGACTCCCTAACACACTCGCGACTCCCACAGACCCGGCAGAGACCCCCTTGGAGCCCCAAAGCCCCAGTCCCAGGGGCACGCCTGGCCATCCGCCCCAGGGCCCACCTTCCTCTCCCTGCCCCGCGCTCCCGTCCCCCCAGGCGTCTGCTTTCTACTGGCAGACATGATCGTGCAGAGCACCGACGCCATCAGAGGATTCCCCGTGTGTCTGTGACCGTATCCTGCCTGGGGCAGAATAAAGGAACGGCTTTTTTTGTTTTTTAGCGCCGCGGTTCCGCGTGCTTTTGTGGGGGTCGTGGGGACGCAGGCACGGGGTTGCATAGAGGCTCAGGGAGGACTCAAGGATATGAACCTATAGGGAACGTGGTGACACGAGTGACATGGATTGGGATGGGAACAGGGACATCGGGGAGGGGAGGGGCCAGGAGGGGACGTGGGCTTTTGGAGAGGTTGTGGAGAGGCTGTGGGGACGTCATGAAGATGAAGTGGAGACACGAACAGGGGAGGATACGGATATGGAAGGGACAAGGAACACGGGGATGGAGAGTGGAGAGACCGACACGAGAGGACTCAGAGGAGTGGGAACAAGAGCACCGCAACTTGGAGAGGTCGGGAAGAAGTGGGGGATCTGGAGGGAGAGAGTAGATCCGGGGACACTGGGAAACGTTTATAGGACCAGGAGGATCCCCACTCCGGGCGCGCTTCCCTCTAGTGCACGACCTTTCCCCTAGTTCCCTGCCCCTCCCCCTCCGCCAGGCCTTGCCCTCCGGCTCCGGGTCCAGTGGGCTCCCGGATTGGTTTGCGTTGCTTGCCACACCGCCCTTCCTTCCGGCCTCTCGATTGGTCCTCTGTGGGGGGGCGGGCTCTGCAGCTGTCGACTGGCTGACCGTGCCGCGCGCAGGCGCAGAGAGGGGCAGGGGGCGGGGCGTCTGGACGGAGCGGCGGAGGGTGCGGGTTGACCCTGTAGGTGGCTGTGGCTGGAAGATGGCGGAGCTGCGCGCGCTTGTTGCTGTCAAGAGGGTCATCGACTACGCTGTGAAGGTGACCGGGTCCCCCTCTCCCACATCCCCAAGTCCCGCAGCCGTGTGCTTCCGGGGCCACGAGCGCACACTAGGTGGGGGTCTTCTTGTAACCTCCGACCTCTGCCGCTCTAACCCCCAAACGTCAAAGTCACACCTAGGGGCAAAAATCAAAGACTGAAGTTCTGCCATTCGATCCCTCCGGGGTCACGGCCCTGTTCTCTTTTCCGTGGTTCTGGACTCACTTTCTTGATAACTGTTCAGAGCGAGTTGCTTTCTCCATTTCTTACCCACTGGAAGAAGTCATGGTCCCTGTTTAACGCACGGAGAAACTGAGGCACAGAGCGGTCACCCACCTAAAGAAGGGCAGAGCCGAGTTCTATCCAGGTTCCTCTGACTTCACTCACTGGGCTGCATTGCCTACCATTGGGCTATTACCCGAAATGTTCTATAGTGGGAGTCAGACAGGGCACTGTAGCTGCCTTCCACCCTCCATACCCACAGCGTGAGCCAGGAGGCTCTAGCTAGGGAGAGAGAAGTGTGTTTGCTAGAGATGAAAGGTCAAAGAACCAACCTGACTGAGCTGAGGAGTAGCTCACATTCTCCATGAAAGAGGTGGGAAGGGCACCTTCTGAGCGCCTGGCTTGTCCCCAGAGGGAAGCTGGTGTGGGCAGAGGTGAATCAGACACGGTCTCTCAGGCCCATCTCTCTCAATGCTTGGCCTGAACTGGACTGAAGATGGTGACTGTCCGTCCATGTCTGTCCTTCCCATAATCCTGGGCTCTTACCTCCGTGTTCCCAGCATTGCCTAGTACTGGGCCTGGCACCCTGGAGGCCTCAGGGTGGGTGAAACCAGGGTCACAAAGTTGACAGTGATACTTCCTCTGCCTGTCTTGGGAGTGGGCTGCGGAAGAGGGTATAGGAGCCAGACCTGGACATGAAAGCATCAGTGATCATAGCAGATAGCATTTAGTGGGTACTTACATGCCAGGCATCGTTCCAGGTCCTTTGCAGAGATTAACTCATTCAGTCCTTTCAGTGACCTCTGCATTATTAATCCCATTGGATGGGTGAGGAAACAGCCCTGTGGAGGTTGTTAGTTGCCAGATCTCCCAGCCAGTAAGTGGCAGTTAGGATCAAAATCTGGGTAAGTCTAGCTCCAGACTGCTCTCCCATCTCCACTCAATGCCCCCCGTCCTAATACACCTCTGGCAGCACATGACAGGGATGTCGCCTTCAGCCCTTTTGAGACACATTCCTTTTGGGGTCCTGGGACCCGACACTTGGTTTCCTCTCCCTTCTGACTGTTCATTACTGTCACATCTTTGGACTCCCACAGCTCCCTGGGCCTCCTCTCTCTATCCCAGCCCTGGCCTTCCCCGCCTGGCATGTCTGGGATTGGATCTGTCTCCCCTACCGTGCAGGCCCACGTTTGACTCAGCTCTGGTCCCAGCGTCACTCAGCACAGAGCCTGGCACATGGCTGTCTCTGCTGTACTCAGGGAAGCGTGAAGGCAGCGTTGAATCAGCTCCTGTCCTTTCCAGAGCGGGTTGCTGCCTTCCTCTCTCGCAGTGCCCCAGGGCTCCGTGACTCGCTGGATGTGTCTGTTGATGTCCTTTTCAGAACAAATAAATGATTCAGACCCTGCCAGCTTCCTCAACATCGGATTCGAACTGGGCACCATCCCATCCCCTTTCCCTTCTCCTCCCAAAGCTGTCAGTTCTCCACCCCCCACCCTTCCGGCCCTATAGTCTCTTGGTCTCATTGTCTCGCAGGTTCTCCCTGGCTCCAAGTCTCTCCCTCTCAGCCCACCTCTACCCAGCCGTAGGGGTCTTTCTGCACCTAGAGCTGACCTTGCCCTCCCCTGATCCCAGCTTGCCTATGGCTCCCCAGCACCCTCAGGACAGAGTCCCAGCCCCTCTGCCTGGCATTTGGGACCGATTGTGGTTCGGCCTCCTATTCATAGTCTGCTTCAGCCATCCATGTCCCTCCTTGGACCCTCCCTTACCTCTTGTGTTTCTGCCGGTGTGACATGCTCCTCCTGTCTTGACAGAGGAGGCTGTGGCTCACCCATTCCATGCCTTATTCCAGCACCACCCTCCTCTCTCTGCTGCCTGTCCTTTGTCCTGCCCAACTCCAACTCATGGATTATATCAAAATCTAGTGATTCTCGGCTGGGCATAGTGGCTCATACCTGTAATCCCTGCATTTTGGGAGGCCGAGGTGAGTGGATCAGTTGAGGTCAGGAGTTCAAGACCAGCCTGGCCAACATGGTGAAACCCTCTCTCTACTAAAAATAAAAAAATTAGCCAGGCATGGTGGTGTACCTGTGATCCCAGCTACTCGGGAGTCTGAGGCAGGAGAATTGCTTGAACCTACCCTTATACTGCAGTGGCATTTGTGAAACAGGTCAAGGTCACTGGTCATGTTGTCTAAGGTGTTATCCGAGCTCATTGCCTCACAACCAAGAGAATTAAAGAGCATGAACCACCCAAAGCGTGAGTTTGGAGCGAAAGTTTAATAAGCAAAAGAAGTTTTTACAGTTGAATCCAAAACTTTTGTAAGACACTCCTCTCGTCTCTGCAGCTGTTTGAGTATCTTATCTGTAAAGCTATCTGTGTAACTCTCCCTTATCTATGTAGTTGTGGGTGTGTCTCTAGGCAAGCCCAAGGGTTTGTTTTAGGTAAGCCCCGCCCCGTCCCTTTGCAAGTTCCCATGGAGCCCACCATATATATGCCTGAAAAGGGGTGGAACTTTTCCTGGGAGCCCATTAATCACACAAAGAACAAAAGCAGGATCTGTGCTGGATCCTGCCTGCTTATCTGTGCAGCTGCAGCCTGAGTTTTCTCCAGGCTTCTCTACTGTTGCCTGTAGCTATGATTTTTCAGGCAGGCTGCTTCTCCGAGTGCCAGGCTTTGCTGTCTACGTAACTGATTTTTCCTTTTCTTCTCATTTGTATTTATGTATCAGTGTGTTATGTCTTTATATACACTTGGGGATATGGTAAAATACACCTCTCACTGGGGGTTACTGTAAATACTGTAAATTTGAGAACCACTCTTTCAGGCCTGATAAGGAGCAGTGACAGATTAGGGATGGTCATGTCAGATGTCCCTGGTACCCAGGAATGTCTGGATAAGAGAAGAAGAGAGGGTGACCTGCCCCTGCCTACAAGCTCTAACGCAGCTTGTCCCTGAAGCTGTGACCCTGGACAAGGCCCTGCCCCTTTCCAGACTGTTGTCCCCCTCCAACCTGGGAGAGGGTTGGCACTCAGGCCCCCACCTTCTGGCCTATTTCCTCCTGACCCCGCCTTCTCCCCTCCTGCTGAGCAGATTCGAGTGAAGCCTGACAGGACGGGTGTGGTCACGGATGGTGTGAAGCACTCCATGAACCCCTTCTGCGAGATCGCAGTGGAGGAGGCTGTGCGGCTCAAGGAGAAGAAGCTGTTGAAGGAGGTCATCGCAGTCAGCTGTGGGCCTGCACAGTGCCAGGTGCTCAGAGTCGGGGAGGGTGCTGGTCTCCTGGGTCTGAGGGAGGAGGGCCTGGGGGCCTGGACTCGTGGGTCTGAGGGAGGAGGGGCTGGAAGCTAGACTCCTGGGTCTGAGGGAGGAGGGGATGGGGTCCAGATTCCTGGGTCCCTCTGGGGATAGTAGCCAAGTCAAGCTCCTCTGTCCTTGGCAGGAGACCATTCGTACCGCCCTGGCCATGGGTGCAGACCGAGGTATCCATGTGGAGGTGCCCCCTGCAGAAGCAGAACGCTTGGGTCCCCTGCAGGTGGCTCGGGTCCTGGCCAAGCTGGCAGAGAAGGAGAAGGTGGACCTGGTGCTGCTGGGCAAGCAGGTAGCTGGGTCAGCCCCTCCCTGTGCCCCTGCTCATCCGTGCTCAGGAGGAGGGTGGCGGGGATGTGGGGTGGGACAGCAGGTGACCAGGCCCAGGGCATTCAGCCACTCCAGGCTGAGCAGCTTGGACTTTGCTGTCCCTCCTGATAGAGAGTTTGAGCAGGAAGAACAGAGTCCCTCTAGGTGTTAGATCCTCCTGGGCCAGGCACGATAGCTCATGCCTGTAATCCCAGCACTTTGGGCTGCTGAGGTGGGCAGATCACTTGAGGTCAGGAGTTTGAAATCAGTGTGGCCAACATGGCAAAACCCTGTCTCTTCTAAAAATAGAAAAATTATCCAGGCGTGGTGGCAGGTGCCTATAATCCCAGGCAGGGCCTGGGTGGGGCTGCAGGGGCCCAGGTGTTGGCAACGTGGCCTTTGCAGCCCCCTGCATTTCCTGTGGGTCTTCTGTCCCACTTTGTCCTACTTGTCCTGGGCCAGGGACAGTTCCTGGGGCCAGGGCCTCCAGCTGGGGAAATGCCAGATGAACTGGTCAGGATGCTGTTT